GGGTGATGAAAGCAGATAGGGGTGACCCCTATCATACAAGCATGGCAGGCACGTTGTGCCCTGATTTTTTGAGTCGACTCAAATATCACCTACAGATATGTCACACGAGACATTTGAAGATCGGCGTGCTATTATCGCGTGGAAGCTTCCGAAGCGTACAGGAGATTTTTCAGTTTCAGCTAGAAAGTGTTAGGTGTAGCTACACTTAATTCATTTTTTCTAGCCTTGAGGTTCGGACTCCGAGAATTCCCTCGAGCCGCATTTTGGCCTTGGGAGGTTCGCGAGCTCCTGCCTATTTAGCCTTGCTCATTTGCATTGCTCTTTTGTGTACGGTCTGCTGAAGGGGTCTGATGAAGGGGTCTGCTGAAGGGGTCTGCTGAAGGGGTCTGCTGAAGGGGTCTGCTGAAGGGGTCTGATGAAGTGGTCTGCTGAAGGGGTCTGATGAAGGGGTCTGCTGAAGGGGTCTGATGAAGGGTCTGCTGAAGGGGTCTGCTGAAGGGGTCTGATGAAGGGGTCTGCTGAAGGGGTCTGCTGAAGGGGTCTGCTGAAGGGGTCTGCTGAAGGGGTCTGATGAAGTGGTCAGCTGAAGGGGTCTGATGAAGGGGTCTGCTGAAGGGGTCTGATGAAGAGGTCTGCTGAAGGGGTCTGCTGAAGGGGTCTGCTGAAGTGGTCTGCTGAAAGGGGTCTGATGAAGGGGTCTGCTGAAGGGGTCTGCTGAAGGGGTCTGCTGAAGGGGTCTGATGAAGGGGTCTGCTGAAGGCCGCCACCTGCCGAAACTAGTTACCATCAATTTTGCCTCACAAATTCACGAGAGTTCCTTTCTGAGCAATATTATTTTTTTCTAAATCAACAGTGCTTTACAGCCCGCTGCCACGTATGGCTAAAACCACCACCAAGTGGTGTTCTCTCGGATAGGGGTGATGAAAGCAGATAGGGGTGACCCCTATCATACAAGCATGGCAGGAACGTTGTGCCCTTCCTCCCTCCCCCCACGTGCTTTTGAGTCGACTCAAAAGCATGGCAGGCACGTTGTGCCCTCCCTCCCTCCCCCCACGAGCAGACTCCTCTCCAGCAGCCACGACGCCAGCAGCCAAGATGGCAGCAGCTGCACCACCAAGCATCCCACCCTCTAGCCCCCCTACAGCCCCCCCAGCACTCACCCACAGACTGCCGGCTCCAGAAATCGTCCCTCCCCCACGTGCAGACTCCTCTCCAGCAGCCACGACGCCAGCAGCCAAGATGGCAGCAGCTGCACCACCAAGCATCCCACCCTCTAGCCCCCCTACAGCCCCCCCAGCACTCACCCACAGACTGCCGGCTCCAGAAATCGTCCCTCCCCCACGTGCAGACTCCTCTCCAGCAGCCTCGACGCCAGCAGACAAGATGGCAGCAGCTGCACCACCCTGGATGCAGGAAAGCAAACTGCAGGAGCCACCAAGCATTCCACCCTACAGCCACCCTACGGCCCTCATACAGCCACCCTACAGCCCTCATACAGCCACCCTAAGTCCCTCATTCATACAGCCCCCTCACACTCACCCACAGACTGCCTGCTCCCGCGCTCATCCGTGCCCCCATGTGCGGTCTCCTCTCCAGCACCCACGACGCCAGCAGCCACGATGGACGCAGTCGCACCACACAACGTCATGCAGGGAAGCAAACTGCAGGAGCCACCAGGCATTCAATTCTACAGTCCCCCACACTCACCCGCAGACTATCGGCTCCAGAACTCGTCCCTCCCTCCACGTGCAGACTCCTCTTCAGCAGCCACGACGCCAGCAGCCGCACCACATTGTCTGGAGGGAACCGAGCCAGCAAGCATCCCATCCTACATGCCCCCCTCACACTCACCCACAGACTGCCGGCTCCCGTGCTTGCCCCACCCCCCACGTGCAGACTCCTTTCCAGCAGCCACGACGCCAGCAGCCGCACCACACTGTCGGGAGGGAACTGAGCCAGCAGCCACTGTTTCTCCTCCCCTCCTCCCCTCCTCCCTCCACTCCCTCCTCCCCCTCTTCCTTCTTCCCCCCAAACTCCTCTCCCTTCACCTCCACTCCCTCCGCTTCCCAGACCTCCTCTCCACCCCCCATCCTCCTCCTCCTCCTCATCTTCCTCCTCCTCCTCACCCTCGCCGGACAGCTTCCGGGAAGCTTCCACGCAGAGCGCCAGCGCCCAGCCAGCCTGGCGCTTGACGCTGACGTGGCGGTCGCGGCGGTACGCCTCGACCAATGACTGGAGCGCGTCCCTGACAGACGATTGGACGGCGTCGTTCGGGGAGAAGAGGAGTGGGCCAATCACAAGGATCTGATCGGCTGATGTGCTGGCCGCACCAGCAGTGATAGGTACCGATGCTGCAGCGGAATTAGTCACACCAGAAGAGGTGGCAGCAGCAGGAGCAGCAGAGGAAGCATTCGGGTGCTGTGTGTGGTAGGGCGGGAGCGAGGTGAGCAGAAGAGGAGAGCCTAGCAGTGCTGCGACTGCCATGGCTGCTGCCGCTCTCACGCTGCTGGGAAGAAGCGCTGATGCACCTAAGCCTGCACTGCCGCCTCTGCAACTATCGGAAACACCTACACTTTCGCCCACTGCTGTCGCAGCAGCAGCAGCAGCAGCAGTAGCAGCAGAGCCACTCCCCTTCTCCCCTTTGAGAGCGCCCAGCAGGGGGCTCAGCACGTCCCTGATCGCCCCAAGGGGCAGGGCGACATCGCAGCAGAGAGACGCATGCACCATGGAGGCCAGAGAGAGGGAAACAGCTCCCAGGAACACTGGGGGAGGGCCGTGGAATCCAGGTGTGCCTGCTGCTGCTGCTGCTGCTGCTGCTGTGGTGGTGAAGGCGCCTGTTCCTGTGTAGTCAGCTTCGGTATAAGCACCAAAAGGGTCTCTGTTGGCCGCGCCTGTGGCAGCAAAATTCTCACCAACGGGAAAAAGAACCGAGCCCGGCGGTAGATGCTGCTGCTGCTGCTGGTTTTGCCCCAGGCGCTCCTGGTACTGCTGGTACTGCTGCTGGTGCTGCTGGTGCAGCAGCAGCAACGTATCTTCATCCAGCACCAAGCCTGGTAGGTTCGGCAGTGGCAGGTGCGGCACGGACAGCAGTGCGAGGGACTCTGCTTGTGCTTGCGCTTGGTCCACAGGCAAGGGCAGCACCAGCGGCTGTCTCTTCAAGTGCATTACCTCTTGAAAAACTCTCCTCAGTCCGTCTGTCCATTCTGCCATTTTCTCCTCCTCTATCCACTCTCCCTGCCCACCTGATTGAGCAGCTGCCATTTCTCTACCTCCCTCTCCCCCCCCCCTGCCTGTCTCCCCCCTCTCACCCCACACTCAGCTATCAGAGGCAGCGCCAGCGCTGCTGCTGCTGCGAGGACAGGTGGGGGCACGTGATTGGCCGAGGAGGGGCCTAGGGAGGATGGTGGGGTAGGCAGGGAGATGGGGTCACCCCACCCGTCCACTGCTGGGGGCGGGGGGAAGGAAGGTCCACCTGGGGGAGGTGGATCCTGGCTTGAAGTGAGGGAGTGGGCGAAGGCTTGGGTCCAGTTGAAAAGGAGGGAGGCGAAGGAGGAGAGGAGGGAGAGGTGGGGGGGAGAAGGGGAGGAGGAGGTGAGAGAGGAGGTGAGTACAGCAAGGCCTAATAAGGCCCCACCCACACCCCACTCCTCCCCCTCATCATCCCCAACACCCCCCTCAGCCCTCTCTGATCCCATTCCCCCCGTTCCCCCCAAGCTCCCCTCGCCCTCCCCCCTTCCCCCTCCACCTCCCCCAGTGCTACAGTAACCGCCCGGCCCATCTCCCCAGGAAGCTTCCACAGAACCTGCGCCAGATCCTCGAGAGACTGGGGGGAGGACCGACCAATCACGGCGCAGAGCGTTCGTACCGTTGCTGCTGCTGCTGCTGCAGATGCTGCTGAGTCAGCGCCCCTGCCAACGCTGCTGCTGCCGCCTTCTGCAGCCGACGAATGGGAGAGCGCCACCTGGCTCGCTGCGATGGTCCCGAGGGAGACAGCAGCTGCAAAGCGGAGAGAGCTGTCGACTCCTGATTGGTTGAGGAACTGACGGGGGAAATGGGTGAGAAAGGTCGGGTGGGAGGGGAGGAGGGCATTTTGGGGCGCCTAGAAAATTGGCGGATGCGAGGGGAGGAGGGGCATGAGATGGTCCTTAAAACACCAAGAAGTGCGCGGACTTAGGCAACCCCCGAGAATATGTGCTGTTACATGTCTCACCCTGGCCAGCAGGATGGCTATCCTGAGGCGCATGTGATGTGAGCATCCGTGGGGTGTTGAATGAAGACACCCCCTACCAGCACCAGCACCCCCAGAACCTGCACCCCCATCTTAGCAAGCAGAAAGGCGGTGCAGGATGGCGATCCTGGCTTGCACAAGTCTCACCTTGGTCAGCAGAATGGCTATCCTGAGGCGCATGTGAGCATCCGTGGGGTGAAGGCACCCCCCCACAGCACCCAACGCCAGCGCAAACGCCCACCCACTCGCCGGCAACCAGCCAGCACCGCCCAATCCCCCCCCACCCACGCCCACTCCCCCTCTCCCCCCCCCTCCCACTCCCCTTCCACTCCCCCCTTCTTCTTCCCCCAACTCCCCCCCTGCCCCCACTCCCCCTGCGCCTCCCCCTGAGCTTTCATCTTTGAGCCTCCCCCTGAGCAGGTCGGCAGCGGACGCAACAAGGCGGTGCAGGGAGGGCGGCAGAGCTTGGCAGAGAGCAGCCAGGGCGAGCGCGCTGTTCTCAGCCTCCACTGGAACGCCGCTCTCCAGCCCTCCAGTCACCACCTCCCATAGCCCCACTGCTGCTGCTGTCGCTGCGTCTCCTCCTCCCCCTCTGGCCCTTCCTGCTGATTCTGCTGCAGTAGCGGCAGCCGCCGTACCAGCAGTAACACCAGCGGCACCACCCGCAGTAGGGCCAGCAGCCGCTGTAGCAGCGCCGGCTGTAGCGGCGGCTGTAGCGTGCAGCAGGCGGCACCTGGCGCGGTACCATTGGCGCATGAAGTGCGTCCAGGCGGCGAGGGACGAGAGCACCAGCGGGTAGAAGGCCGGGCGGCCCAGCAACTGGGACGCTTCCAGGAAGATGCGGTGGAAGTGCGAGTCTCGTTCCTTGAGAGCCTGGAGAAGGGTGCGAGAAAGGGGAGGGGGGAGAGAGGGAGGGGGGAGAGAGGGGGGGGGAGGAAGCAATTCCAACCAAGAACCTGAAACCGTGAACAGATGACCCTAAACCGTGAACAGATGACCCTAAACCCTGAACAGATGACCCTAAACCCTGAACAGATGACCCTAAACCCTGAACAGATGACCCTAAACCCTGAACAGATGACCTTAAACCCTGAACAGATGACCATGGATCAAAGGGTTTTGAGGAGAAAGGGGAGGCAGTCTCTCGAGGCGATTCAGAACCAGATATGATTCAGAACCAGATATGATTCAGAACCAGATATGATTCAGAACCAGATAAGATTCAGAACCAGATAAGATTCAGAACCAGATATGATTCAGAACCAGATATGATTCAGAACCAGATATGATTCAGAACCAGATATGATTCAGAACCAGATATGATTCAGAACCAGATATGATTCAGAACCAGATATGATTCAGAACCAGATATGATTCAGAACCAGATATGATTCAGAACCAGATATGATTCAGAACCAGATATGATTCAGAACCAGATATGCATCCTTGAGAATGTCCGATAATGACAACCACACCCTCAGCATTTTTCACAACCCTTAAAACACCTACCCCAGTTCCCACCTTCTCAAGGTTCAGCCGTGCCTGCCTGGCGCTGCCAGCGGTACTTCTGCTCCGTGTTGACGTGGACTGAGCTGGAGCTGACGTGGCAGATGGTGGTGCCGGTAGCTCTGGTGGTGGCGGCGGCACTAGGAGCAAGGCGGCAGCAGGTACATCTGGGGGAGGTGGAATAGACGAATTGCACAGGGGAGGTGGGAAAGGTGAAATGGGGGAGGGCACAGAGTCGAGGCAGGGCAGTGTGTAATGAGTCTATTTTTGAGTAATGAGTGTAATGACTCAATAAAGAATAGACTCATTACACAAGAATGGAGGCAGGGCAGTGAAGTTATCAGTACCTACCTACCTACCTAGCACCGGACTTTACCAACCCCCTTCAAATCTAGTCCCTCTAATGCCCATCCCGTACCAACCGCATTCAACCACCTTCAACCGCCTTCATACCTTTTCCTCCTTTCCATTTCTCCCTCCAAAGCTCTCCGGACACATCAACCGGGGCAGGGCCGCCAGGAGCCTGTGCCCCCTGCTGGACCCTACCTAGCATGCTAGCATACTAATACTCACATCTACCTAGCACCTTAATACCTACCGCCTTTATACCTACTGCCGCCATACCTGCTGCCGCCATACCTGCTGCCGCCATACCTGCTGCTGCCATACCTAGTCCATCTTTCCCCTTTCTCCCTCCAAAGCTCTCCGGACACAGCAATCGGGGCAGGGCGGCCAAGAGCTTGTTCGAGCGCCACGTGGCAGCACCAGGCGCGCCAGATGACGTGGCAGCAGATGCCATGTCACCTCCCGCTCCCTCTCCTCCTCCAGCCGCTGCTGCTTTGATGGCCGATCGACCCCTGGGGCGGGTTCTGTGCTGGTAGTGTGCGAGCTTGGCGAGCAGGGGCTGCATGGCTTGGCGGACGGAGGGACAGGGCTCTGAGAGGTAGGCTTGTACGAGGTGGGTACTGGGGTAGGGCCATGCGTCAGTGACGTCATCAACCTGGAGAGGGCAAAATTTGGAGGGAGGGAGAGAGACAGGGAAGCAAGGAGAATGGACAGCACACAAGTGAGAAAGCAGGGCTGGAACTTTGATGGCCGAGAGACCCCTGGGTCAGGTTGGGTTGTGTGGTGGTGATGATTGAGAACAAGGACCCCTGGGTCGGGTTCTGTGCTGGTAGCTGGCGAGCTTGGCGAGCAGGGGCTGCATGGCTGGGCGCACGGAGGGACAGGGCTCTGAGAGAAATGTTTGCACTAGGCGGGCACTGGGGTAGGGCCATGCGTCAGTGCGTCGCCAGCAGAAGGAGAGTAGGGATGAAGAATTTCGGGGATTCGGGGAGGGAGATTCGGGGTAGGGAGATTCGGGGAGGGAGATTCGGGGTAGGGAGATTCGGGGTAGGGAGATTCGGGGTAGGGAGATTCGGGGTAGGGAGATTCGGGGTAGGGAGATTCGGGGTAGGGAGATTCAGGGTAGGGAGAGCGGAACCACAATAGGAGAGACACAGAGTGAAGGAAAGGGAGTGAGGGAGAAAGGGAGGGTGAGAGTGAGGGAGGAGTGAGGGAGGGAGGGGAATGAGGTGAACCTATGTAGAAATTATGAGAGGGCAATGGTTACCGAGAAAGCAGCTAGTGCAGTGTAGGCAGAAGCACGGGTCTGCCTCCACTCTTCCTCTCCCCTTCTTCCCCCACTCCTTTCCTCAATCACCTCCCCCTCCTCCCTCCCTTTCCTGGCAGCTTCCCACAGCCCCTCCATGATGCCACGTGTCGCGTCGGGATAGGCGGCGGCATCGAGAGCAGCGGATTGCAGCAGGTGGCACCAACACGCGGCCGTGATTGGATGGGTGGGCAGGGAGGGGTGTGATCTGGCGACGACTTTCCATGCTGTGAAGAAATCTGGGGTTGGAATAGTTTGTTTGGGGGAGGGAGGTGGGGCGGGGATGAGGGGGGAGAAAGGGAACATTGGAAGAGCGTGCACTGGGCCAGTAGGAGATGAAATTGGCATCTCCACCATGGCATGGCACGGCATGTCGACTTTGCAGGGTATGTTTGAGAATTCTCAAAAATACCCTGCAAAGGCACGGCATCTCGACAATGGCGCGGCATCTCGACACCACCCTTTGCCACAGAGAGGGGGGATGACCAGAGAGGAGGCTGTGAATGTGTATGGCACGGTATGGCATGGCATGGTATGGCATGGCATGGTATGGCATGGCACGGTATGGCATGGCACGGTATGGCATGGCATGGTATGGCATGGCACGGTATGGCATGGCACGGTATGGCATGGCACGGTATGGCATGGCACGGTATGGCATGGCACGGTATGGCATGGCACGGTATGGCATGGCACGGTATGCATGGCACGGTATGGCATGGCACGGTATGGCATGGCACGGTATGGCATGGCATGGTATGTCATGGCACGGTATGGCATGGCACGGTATGGCATGGCACGGTATGGCATGGCACGGTATGGCATGGCACGGTATGTCATGGCACGGTATGGCATGGCACGGTATGGCATGGCACGGTATGTCATGGCACGGTATGGCATGGCACGGTATGGCATGGCACGGTATGGCATGGCACGGAATGTCATGGCACGGTATGGCATGGCACGGTATGGCATGGCACGGTATGTCATGGCACGGTATGGCATGGCATTGCAAGAGAGACAGTATGTGATCGTCTCTATTCAAACAAATCTGCAACGGCATCACAGCCCAAGGGCAACCTGCAGCTTCATGTCCTTCATGTACTTCATGTATCCCTGTGGAGAAGCATAGCACACACCCACAAAAGCGGTGTAAGACTCACCCAGCAGCATTGCATCGGCTCTGCAAGACTCACCCACAGCATCGGCCGCACAGAGAGCAGCAAGCGCGTCGAAGGCAAAGGTAGCGACCAGCGGATGCGGCGACTCTATAGCCGCCTGCACTGACAGCACCAGCCGTACTGCCCGATTCCGTGTCACATCATCTTACCCACATGTACCTTCCCCATATTCAACTCACCCACAGCATCAGCAGCACAGAGAGCAGCGAGTGCGTCCAATCCGAAAACGGCAATGAAGGGATGCGGTGACTCAATAGCCGCCTGCACTGACAGCACCAGCCGCACTGCAACCTGTGTAAGAGGCTCTGCAAAACTCACCCACAGCATCGGCGGCACAGAGAGCCGCAAGGGCGTCCAGTCCGAATGCGGCAACCAAAGGATGCCGCGACTCAATGGCCGCCTGCACTGACAGCACCAGCCGCACGGCCCGATCCGTGTCGTGGCGACACACGCCGCGTATGCTCGCCGCTGCTGCCAGCACCACCGCCTCTGACGCTGCATCCCTCCTTGGGTCTATTCTGCCAGTGCTGGGAGTGGAGAGCGACTGAGGCAGCAGCAGCGGCTGCAGCGAGGGGAAGATGCGGTCCGTGATGGCCCACGCTTGCTGGAGGAGACGCAGAGCGACGGATGCAAGGAGACTGACGGGGGTACGGGAAGGGGGAGAGGTAAGGGTAAAAGGCGCAGGGAACTGAGGGCACTAAGGCTGCAGCGAGGGGAAGATGCAGTCGGTGATGGCCCATGCTTGCTGGAGGAGCCGCAGAGTGAGGGGACTGGCAGGAACGGGAGGGGGGAGGGGAAGAGTGGGGGGGGGGCGGAGGGAGGGTAGCAGGATTAGAGGAACAGGGAGCTGTTCCTGTTCCTGGGAACAGGGAGGAATTGCGGACGGCAGGAATTGCGGACAAGACAACAGAGAAGGGCGACAATTTGGTTGAGGACGATCAGTCAGCTGTTGTGCCAATTTGGTTGAGTCTCAATCGGATTACATGTTTCCCTCCAGATGCTCATCTCAGGCTTGTTTGAGAAGACACAGATGAGTGGAGATGGAAATCTTGAGGAGGTTAAAAGAATCACAAGAAGAAGACAAATACTAATGAGTTTTAAGACGACTCAAAAGAAGGAAACGATGTGAACAAGGTGGGGGGGTAGAGCAGGAGGAAATCAGCCGAAAGAGACACGGGAGAAAGAGGAGGAAGAGAAACGCACGGGCGGGACTTCTGGCCGGCAAGCTTTGTCAGGACTTGCACCACGGGGCCAGCTGCCAGCCAGTGCCTCGCAAGGCTTGGCAGCACACACAGCACTTGAAGACAGGCCTCGCCGTCCACTCCCTCACTCCCACCCCCCCCTTCCCTCACCTCTCTCCCCCTCCCACCTCTCCCTTCCCCCTAGCCCCTCCCTGTGCCACGTGGCTCAAGCTCCAGAGGACAGGTGGCAGCAGTGAGAGCGCCCAGAGAGGCTCACAGGAGGCAAGGCGGGAGAGGGCAAGGAGGGAGGAGGAGCGGAGGGATGGGGAGGGGTGGTGCAGGGTGGAGAGAGGGAGGAGGAGGGCAGCAAGTGAGAGGATGAGGGATTGACTCAAGCCGCTGCCGGCTGACGTCTCTCTCCCTGCCTTTCTCACTGTCTCTTTCCGGATCTGAATCAGTTGCTGCTGCAGCGCTACCAGCCACCTATCAGAGCCTGACACGTGGCACCCATGCTCTCCCCTTCTGTTAATGACCGCCTGAGAGCCTGCCACGTCAGCTGCTGTGTCGTCCATGTCTACTCCAGGAGCAGAACCGATATGCTCATGCTGACGTGGCACGGGCTCATTGGCCCAGGTTTCTGGCGAGTGCCACGTGCCGGGCTGCCATTGGGGAGAGGCGATTGGATGGTTCTTGAAGCGAGAGTGAGAGGTCAAGCAGATAAAGAGTTGAGCAAACTGGTGCATGTGCCAGAGGTCAGGATGCCTCCACTGCTGCTGCTGCTGCCGTACGAGCCACAACTGCTGCTGGTTACCGAGCATTGCCTGCTGCTGCTGCTGCTGCTGCTGCTGTGAGAAGAGAGGCCGACTTGCAGTGGCAGCAAGGCAGGCGTTGATTGCATGTGCTGCGGACAGCTTGAGAGACGGCGAGGGGAAGGAGAGGAGGTGGAGGAGGGGGAGCAGCAGAAGCGGAATGCAGAGTCTTATGTCATCATCACCCGAGTCAGCAGCACCTTTGAGCCTAGTGTGTCTAGAGAGAGAGAGTCTAGTGAGGCTCTGCTGCAGAACTGCCAGCACAGTGGCGTGCTCTTCGTCCGCTGGAAGCCCACACAGCAGCAGGCGCATCAACCCAAGTACTTCCACCTCGTCTGCTCGCTCTCTGGTTTGCTCCACCCTACCCTCCTCCACGCCTTCCCCTTCTCTTCTCGTCTCCCCCCTACCCCCTCTCACTGCCTCTTCCTCCTCTTCTCTCTTCTGCTCCCATATCTGTGCTTCAATTCGCGCCCGCAGCAGCGAGGCTTTCTGAATGAGGAAGAGGGAAGAGGCCAACCCAGCAGCAGCAGAGGCGGCAGTGGGTGCAGCACCAGCACCAGCACCAGCAGCACCAGCGGCACTGTTGCTGCCCGCAGCTTGCAGCTCGAGGGAAAGGGCAAGAGCACAGGCAGAGAGGCGGCTCGAGAGGGAAGCAAGTGCATGCACGTGTTGGTTGGGGATGGATTCGGTGTGAAGGGTTTGGGAGTGGTGGTAGATCTGGCTCTGTGCTTCTTGCATGTCCTTTAAAGGTGCCACGGCATAGGCCAGGTCCATGAGGTCGCCCGTACATGCCAGCATGGTCTCCCGATCCTGGCATGCGCAAATAGAGCAACACACACACACACACACACACACATGCACACACACAAGCACGCGCGCACACACACACGCGCACACACACGCGCGCGCGCACACACACACACACACACACGCACGCACATGCACACACACACACACACACACACACACACACACACGCACATGCACACACACATACGCACACATATGAGAACAAACACATATGAGAACAAACACATATGAGAACAAACACATATGAGAACAAACACATATGAGAACAAACACATATGAGAACAAACACATATGAGAACAAACACATATGAGAACAAACACATATGAGAACAAACACATATGAGAACAAACACATATGAGAACAAACACATATGAGAACAAACACATATGAGAACAAACACATATGAGAACAAACAACCCTCATGGTTTGATCGCCTGACAGGGAGGCGTCAGATTACATCACACGAGACAGCGCTGACACTCACGGCTGCTGACGACAGCATGTGCCACGGAAGCAGCGACACCAACAGCCCCGTGATTGGCTGGAAGAGGTCTGCTGACGTGGCCGCCATGTGGACCAATCGCGTGTGGAGAGCAGCTTTGAAGCGGAGGCGGGAGGGAGGGGAAGGGGCGGGGAGGAGTGCGCGGCAGAGGAACGGGAGGAGAGAGGAGAAGAGGAGAGCGCGGTCACTGCTGCTGCTGGCACTGTTGCTTGGTTTGGTGCTGCTGGTGTTGCTTATGGTGGTAGTGCTGCTGCCGCTGCTCCTGGCATTTCTTGTGCCAGTGGTGATGCTTTTATTGCTAGAGCTGCTACTCTTGGTGGTGGCCGTGGGGGTGGAGGAGAGAGGAGGAGGGGAGAGGAGGAGGAGAGCGAGGTGGTGAAGCAGGGGGAGATGTGTCTCGTCTCGTGTCTCCAATAGCTGATTGCCACGTCATCACACGTGGACGAACACAGGGACGGGCATGCGCATGCAATAGCACATGGGAGATTATGGGGGGAGGGATGAGAACGCATGCATTTGTTTACAATGCGGCTTTCAAAGGGGTTGTCCAAAAGTCTCCTCTGCTGTAGTTAGTCTTTGTACACGTGGCGGGCAACAAAGGTGAAAGCATGTGAAAGGGTGAGAAACCAAGGTGGGAAGATTTTTGAGTCGACTCAAAAATCACTCATGTGAAAGGGTGAGAAACCAAGGTGGTAAGAAGTAAGGAAAGAGTGGCAAACCCTACAAGGGCAATTCTGGGTGGAGTTGCCGTGTTGAGAATTCTCAAAAACCAACTCTCAGTATGAGCATGCTTTGAGTCGACTCAAAAAAGCATTATTCTCAAAAACCAGCTCTCTACGAGCTTTCTTACGCGTGCGAAAGGATGAGAGTTGGCTACAAGTCCGTCGCCATTCAGAGCTGTTGAGGCGCCTCAAAACAAGAAAGCACGGCTCATAGCTTTGAGTTGCCGCACTCCACAATCCACACTGCACACCGCACACTGCACACCGCACACTGCACACTGCACACTGCACAGCATGCTCACACGTGTGAAAGGGTGCGTGCTCCAAGTCCACCGCCATTGCACCTCGCCTCCTCGCCCCCCCCTCCACTCCTTCCCTCCCCCCCCCTCCCTCTCGCCTTCCTGCTGCTTCTGCCGCCCCTCCCACGCCTCCACATCCCCCCTCACGCACTGCACGTACATCCCCACCGCCCCCGCGCACACACTCCCCACCACCTCCCCCCGCACCGCTGGCAGCGCCGCCAGCAGATGCGCCAGCGCTGTTGGTTGGGGGAAAGGGGACAGGGGTGGGGAGCAGGCGGAAGGACAAGGTGTACATGTGGGGGAAGGGGGGAGTGGGATGGGGGAGTTGGGGGGCAGACGTGTGCGGAAGGGGGAAGGCGAGTAGGAATGGGCGGGGAGAAAGGGGAGGAGGGGAAAGGAAAGGTGGAGGGTCTCGGTTTCTGTATTTTCACTGTAGCAGCACAGTGCTAGAGGGTATTTCCCTCCCTTCCCCCCCTTCCTAGAGGGTAAAGGAGGGTGCGGAAAGGGGAGGAGGGGAAAGGAAAGGTGGAAAGGAACAGTGCTAGAGGGTACTTCCCTCCCTTTCCCCCCCCTCCTCCTCCCCCATTTCCCCCCCCCCCCCTTTTCAAACCCTCTGACCTTCATCCGCCTTGCAGTGCCCTGATTGGACGAGCCCGCAAAGCGCCGTCACTGATTGGTCCACCACTGCTGACGTGGCATGCGTCAGGCACGCCGTCAGCGCGTCGCGCGCGGGCGTGCAGGTCTGAGGCGCCGTGCTTGGCGCCGCGAATCGCGCGAATATCGCGTCAACTGTGAACCGCTGCACGGACGGGTGCGGCGTGTTCAAACGGTCCAAAAGCGGCGGAAAAATCTCCGCGGGCCGCGCCATAGCTCCTAAAATTCAGGCCCGAATTACGGCCACGGCCTGATGTACGGCCGGAATTCCGGCTATCAACGGGAATTAGACGAAGGGGACCGCAGGCAAGAAAGAGGTGCACCAGTCAATAGGCTGCAGCTAGCCATGAATGAAATAACTCCGGCATTCGGTATCCCCAGCAAACTCCATGATCGAAGCAGGACGATGCGGCTGAATTATATATTTTGCCATAGTCCTCGTTATTGAGCTCATTCGTCACGCCTATAAACGCAATACGGTTATAACAACTTTGGGTTCAAAAACATACTTTGGTTGTCCAGTCTGAACAACCAAAACTGTGTACTTGAGACCTTGTAACTCACATTTTGGTGACACGAATCCCAAGCAACCAGGCGAACTGCAAGCCGGGAACTTTCGCGAAACACTGGCGATTTCGAGGGTCAATTCTCAGGCTCGTCATCGGGCGATAACCCACTTGCGAATTCCTGGTGGAACGGCGAAAACGTTTGAACGAAAGGGATTCAGTTACCTGTTAGCGTTTACGGGACATCTGATATTCGAAATACGGTCCATTCTTCGCGAAGCTGTCCAAATCCCTCGAAATTTTCACACCTTGATCACAGCAATCCGCCATCAGAGCGATGCCGTCTTAGCTTCCGCGTCCCACGCCGTTATTTCCGCTATGGCCGCGCACGCGCTTGCGTCTACGCGCCTTTCGTTTCTGGAAACACCATGTTCCGTTAAGAATGTTCTTAAAACGAGGAGCAGCGCCTCCAAGAACCGTTCATTCTCCTCCCTCCCCGCATTCCGCCTTCCCCTACATCGCGCAGCTTCCTGGAAACAACGCGCCTTATCTTCCAACCAGGGGAAAAGAAACACCTCATCGATGTCTGTACGGTCAGAGATCGATCTAGACTTGAATCAACGGCCAGAAATCCGCATCGCGATCGAAGAGAGCCTATCGCGCTGTCTCGTCCAATCAGATCTCGAGGGGGCCGTGGCCGGAGTCGGGCCGAAGCAAGAGGGGAAGGTTCGGGACGTGTACTCTGCCAAGCCTGGAGCTGGTTCGGCGACGAGGAGTGACAGTAACAGTAAAGCGGGCGAAGACGTGTTGGTGGTGGTTACCACGGATCGCCAAAGCGCGTTCGACCGGATTCTCGCGTCCGTACCTTTCAAAGGGCAGGTAAGTCACCCGTACGGTCCGGTCCTGTTTTGAGTGGACCCAAAAGCAGATCCGGTCCGATCCGGTCCGGATTCTTGGGTCCGGTTTCCTGTTCATCTTCTTTTTCTATTTTTCACGCGGGCTCGAACTCTCAAACCCCGCTTAAACCATTCAAACGGCTCGGGCACAGAAGCGACTTCCTGCGCTGCTGCTGCACGACATCCGTCGTGCCACAATACGCCCTCCCACTTCCCCACGGCTCCCCCTGCCACAACCCCTCTCCGCCCCCCCCCTCTTCTTGCTTCCCCCAAGTCCTGAACCTGGCGAGCGCGTAGTGGTTCGAGCAGACATCGCCGTCCCTTCCTCCCTCCCTGCTCCCCCAATCCTCCCTCACCGCCAACCCTTCCTCAGGTCCTCAACCAGACGAGCGCGTGGTGGTTCCAGCAGACGGCTGACGTCGTCCGCAACGCTTCTCACCCCTCTCTCCCTTCTTCGTCCACCCCTCTCCCCCTTCTTCGTCCACCCCTCTCTCCCTTCTTCGTCCACCGCTCTCCCCCTTCTCCTTCCACCCCTCTCTCCCTTCTTCGTCCACCCCTCTCCCCCTTCTCCTTCCGCCCCTCTCTCCCTTCTTCGTCCACCCCTCTCCCCCTTCTTCGTCCACCCCTCTCTCCCTTCTTCGTCCACCCCTCTCCCCTTCTCCTTCCACCCCTCTCCCCCTTCTTCGTCCACCCCTCTCCCTCTTCGTCCACCCCCTCCCCCTTCTCCTTCCACCCCTCTCCCCCTTCTTCGTCCACCCCTCTCTCCCTTCTTCGTCCACCCCTCTCCCCCTTCTTCGTCCACCCCTCTCTCCCTTCTTCGTCCACCGCTCTCCCCCTTCTCCTTCCACCCCTCTCTCCCTTCTTCGTCCACCCCTCTCCCCCTTCTTCGTCCACCCCTCTCTCCCTTCTTCGTCCACCGCTCTCCCCTCTCCTTCCACCCCTCTCTCCCTTCTTCGTCCACCCCTCTCCCCTTCTCCTTCCACCCCTCTCCTCCCTTCTTCGTCCACCCCTCTCCCCCTCTTCGTCCACCCCTCTCTCCCTTCTCGTCCACCCCTCCCCCTTCTCCTTCCACCCCTCTCCCCCTTCTTCGTCCACCCCTCTCTCCCTTCTTCGTCCACCCCTCTCCCCCTTCTCCTTCCACCCCTCTCCCCCTTCTTCGTCCACCCCTCTCTCCCTTCTTCGTCCACCCCTCTCCCCCTTCTTCGTCCACCCCTCTCTCCCTTCTTCGTCCACCCGCTCTCCCCCTTCTCCTTCCACCCCTCTCTCCCTTCTTCGTCCACCCCTCTCCCCCTTCTTCGTCCACCCCTCTCTCCCTTCTTCGTCCACCCCTCTCCCCCTTCTTCGTCCACCCCTCTCTCCCTTCTTCGTCCACCGCTCTCCCCCTTCTCCTTCCACCCCTCTCTCCCTTCTTCGTCCACCCCTCTCCCCCTTCTCCTTCCACCCCTCTCTCCCTTCTTCGTCCACCCCTCTCCCCCTTCTTCGTCCACCCCTCTCTCCCTTCTTCGTCCACCCCTCTCCCCCTTCTCCTTCCACCCCTCTCCCCCTTCTTCGTCCACCCCTCTCTCCCTTCTTCGTCCACCCCTCTCCCCTTCTCCTTCCACCCCTCTCCCCCTTCTTCGTCCACCCCTCTCTCCCTTCTTCGTCCACCCCTCTCCCCTTCTTCGTCCACCCCTCTCTCCCTTCTTCGTCCACCGCTCTCCCCTTCTCCTTCCACCCCTCTCTCCCTTCTTCGTCCACCCCTCTCCCCCTTCTTCGTCCACCCCTCTCTCCCTTCTTCGTCCACCCCTCTCCCCTTCTTCGTCCACCCCTCTCTCCCTTCTTCGTCCACCGCTCTCCCCCTTCTTCGTCCACCCCTCTCTCCCTTCTTCGTCCACCGCTCTCCCCCTTCTCCTTCCACCCCTCTCTCCCTTCTTCGTCCACCCCTCTCCCCCTTCTTCGTCCACCCCTCTCTCCCTTCTTCGTCCACCCCTCTCCCCCTTCTTCGTCCACCCCTCTCTCCCTTCTTCGTCCACCGCTCTCCCCCTTCTCCTTCCACCCCTCTCTCCCTTCTTCGTCCACCCCTCTCCCCCTTCTCCTTCCACCCCTCTCTCCCTTCTTCGTCCACCCCTCTCCCCCTTCTTCGTCCACCCCTCTCTCCCTTCTTCGTCCACCCCTCTCCCCCTTCTCCTTCCACCCCTCTCCCCTTCTTCGTCCACCCCTCTCTCCCTTCTTCGTCCACCGCTCTCCCCCTTCTCCTTCCACCCCTCTCTCCCTTCTTCGTCCACCCCTCTCCCCCTTCTTCGTCCACCCCTCTCCCCCTTCTTCGTCCACCCCTCTCCCCTTCTTCGTCCACCCCTCTCTCCCTTCTTCGTCCACCCCTCCCCCCTTCTCCTTCCACCCCTCTCCCCTTCTTCGTCCACCCTCTCTCCCTTCTTCGTCCACCGCTCTCCCCTTCTCCTTCCACCCCTCTCTCCCTTCTTCGTCCACCCCTCTCCCCCTTCTCCTTCCACCCCTCTCTCCTTCTTCGTCACCCCTCTCCCCTTCCTTCCACCCCTCTCCCCCTTCTCCTTCGACCCCTCTCCCCCTTCTCCTTCCACCCCTCTCCCCCTTCTTCGTCCACCCTCTCTCCCTTCTTCGTCCACCCCTCTCCCCTTCTCCTTCCACCCCTCTCCCTTCTTCGTCCACCCCTCTCCTCCCTTCTTCGTCCACCCCTCTCCCCCTTCTTCGTCCACCCCTCTCTCCCTTCTTCGTCCACCCTCTCCCCCCTTCTCCTCCACCCCTCTCTCCCTTCTTCGTCCACCCCTCTCCCCTTCTTCGTCCACCCCTCTCTCCCTTCTTCGTCCACCGCTCTCCCCCTTCTCCTTCCACCCCTCTCTCCCTTCTTCGTCCACCCCTCTCCCCCTTCTCCTTCCACCCCTCTCTCCCTTCTTCGTCCACCCCTCTCCCCCTTCTTCCTCCACCCCTCTCTCCCTTCTTCGTCCACCCCTCTCCCCCTTCTCCTCCACCCCTCTCCCCTTCTTCGTCCACCCTCTCTCCCTTCTTCGTCCACCCCTCTCCCCCTTCTCCTTCGCACCCCTCTCCCCTTCTTCCACCCTCTCTCCCTTCTTCGTCCACCCCTCTCTCCCCTTCTTCGTCCACCCCTCTCCCCTTCTTCGTCCACCCCTCTCTCCCTTCTTCGTCCACCGCTCTCCCCCCTTCTCTCTTCCACCCTCTCCCCCTTCTTCCGTCCACCCCTCTCCCCTTCTTCGTCCACCCCTCTCTCCCTTCTTCGTCCACCCCTCTCCCCCTTCTTCGTCCACCCCTCTCTCCCTTCTTCGTCCACCGCTCTCCCCCTTCTCCTTCCACCCCTCTCTCCCTTCTTCGTCCACCCCTCTCCCCTTCTCCTTCCACCCCTCTCTCCCTTCTTCGTCCACCCCTCTCCCCCTTCTTCGTCCACCCCTCTCTCCCTTCTTCGTCCACCCCTCTCCCCTTCTCCTTCCACCCTCTCCCCCTTCTTCGTCCACCCCTCTCTCCCTTCTTCGTCCACCCCTCTCCCCCTTCTCCTTCCACCCCTCTCCCCCTTCTTCGTCCACCCCTCTCTCCCTTCTTCGTCCACCCCTCTCCCCCTTCTTCGTCCACCCCTCTCTCCCTTCTTCGTCCACCGCTCTCCCCCTTCTCCTTCCACCCCTCTCTCCCTTCTTCGTCCACCCCTCTCCCCTTCTTCGTCCACCCCTCTCTCCCTTCTTCGTCCACCCCTCTCCCCCTTCTTCGTCCACCCCTCTCTCCCTTCTTCGTCCACCGCTCTCCCCCTTCTTCGTCCACCCCTCTCTCCCTTCTTCGTCCACCGCTCTCCCCCTTCTCCTTCCACCCCTCTCTCCCTTCTTCGTCCACCCCTCTCCCCCTTCTTCGTCCACCCCTCTCTCCCTTCTTCGTCCACCCCTCTCCCCCTTCTTCGTCCACCCCTCTCTCCCTTCTTCGTCCACCGCTCTCCCCCTTCTCCTTCCACCCCTCTCTCCCTTCTTCGTCCA